TCTGAGTAAGGCAGTTAATCATTGGCTCAATTCGAATTTCATATTTACATTTATCAAATGTTCTTACATTGAAAGAAAACATCGTGATGCAACCTAAACATATATGCGAAGAAATTCAAAGATATGTCTGAAGTCAGTAACGGACCAACATAGTATATATTTTTAATCTGTAATATGAAGATTATTAACTTTTCCCCACAACACAATATCTGTATCTATATTTTGTAGATCTAGGAAGTTCGTCTGATGTGAAAGTAAACTACCCAGGTAATAAAGTTTTATTTTTCAGACGTATTAAAATCGATTCATAGAATCGATATCCAATATTAAATGTTATGTAAACCTACTCGATTCGTTTTAAAATAGAAGCCTTTACTAACATCGTCTCCATACTAAACTGTTTGCAATCATTAATCGTACGGACAGACAGTGAAATGTGTTGATGTAGGTAATGCCAATCGAATCGGTTTCTACATTGTGAATTATGCGTCTGTGAATATTTTTACATTTATTTTTGAGTATTTTTAATTGTTCTTTAAAATAAAAATTGCAAAATTAGAAATAACTTGCAAATTATTTTAATTGTTAGTAACTTTTAAAAAATTTAATCGATAGGGCAAAGATAACAACATTTATTTCTTTTAACAGTCAATAACTCGAGAATCTTCAGTAAAGGTACAACCCTATCACTAGAGAACGATTTAAAAATCGAACGCACCATTCCCTTGTTACTCAACTCTGAACAATAGAATGTTAACGAATGTTTTGGAATCTCTTAACACGTTCGTCAATAAAAACTCTTTTTTTAAAAACATAATGTTGACCAGTAAAATAAAATTTTCTCTAGATATTTTGTTCACGTACTCCTGGTCTAGACAATGTGGGACAATACTGAATTTGATTTCATTTAATCTAGTTCTTAGTGTTTTATTTTAGCACTTTTGAAATCGCTAATTATTTTAATTTATTCGAGTCATTGCAATAATGGTTTTTTTAGTAAAAGCGTGATAGCGATTATAATTTTCGATATCAACAACAGCATGAAAGAGACGTTTTGTAAATCATTGTATTCAAATTGCGCAATATTTCAGAAACAACTGTACAACAACCGCAGATATTTCGAGATAAGGCCAATCACGTCGAAGAAGGCGTCAAATCTCATTCACAAATCTGACAGACGCCCGCGCAATCCATTCATCGATTTCTCCAGAACGCATCCAAAATTTTACAATCCTCAAACCAGACTAAAAAAGAACAGAGATTTTCAAAATATTTTTCAAGCTAAAATATCTTCTATCGCTTAAAAGAAAAAGACTAGAATCGAATAAATCATTTAATTTATTGTTGTTTAAAAAGAATATTGTGTTAGTTAATTATTCATAACATGCAACACTCACTGTCACCTCGCTTGTCACAGTTGACAGTTGTTTTTTTTTACGCGCGCGAGTGATAGGGCATGCGAAAAGCCACACGTCCCTTTGCCGAAGCATTTGCATCAAATGCGCATGTTGAATATGAAATAGTTTTTTAAAATGCAGTTGTTTCAATCGAAAATACATTATTTAGTTTCATTCAATTGATACAATATAGTTATCCGGTGCGAACGGAAATTAACATCAATATGTGTAAAATATAAAAACTATAAAGATGCTAAAATATTTTTCCACATTTAAAACACCAAAAATGAAATAAAAAAAAGTTTTATAGCATCAATATTTGGCTTTCAAACTAAAGCTTGTTCATTATTTAGTAAGCTTTTTAATATTATATTGTTAATTTTTAAAACGAACTTGAATGTATCGAAGTTCAAAGAAATAAGTACAAACATATTATACTACCATTTTGCGAATACCAAAATGTTCAATTAGTATTCATAGCGTTGTTACAAAATCGATAATTCGCTCACTAAACGATGTCACCAACATAATGAGGCCATGAGAAATCCCCTCACGACTGTCATGTATGCCACCCAAAATAATGTCATAGTCATAGAGAGACCACCAAGAATCCATCGTTGCGATATTTCAATGTCATTGTTTATGACTCATTATTCTGCAATGACCGCACACAACTTACATAGACGAGCGCTTTCATTTCCTAGCAAAATTCCTTTTTTATTGATGTTGGTACATGTTCAGTTTCTTAAAATCATAGAGTACAGAGCTATACCGCTATCTAGTGATTAGGGTTGTAACGTAAGCCTTGTTAACGGAAGCGGATTTGGATGCAGTGCAAAGAACAGAACTCCACAAAAATATTACGGAGGCTGATGTGGATGTATTTAAAGTGGATGTTCTAGACTTGCAAAGGCGTTACTTACTGGAGAAATGTCGAGAAAACTTATTTAAGATCATCACATAAGTGTTGGTAAAAAGACAGTCAAAAACATAACTCTTAAATAACAACTATGTCTATCATTACCAGGATAAGTAGTTACGATTATTGACTTTAACAATAAAAGAGATCGATACGAAAAGGTCAATGTTGAGTCAGTAAAACAAATTATCTATCAAATAAGGCCGGAAAAGCATTCGTAGTCTATTTGAACTATACAGAATAAGTGCCGACCACTTACGTGGTAATTAGACGCTTAACAGCCAAGTAGTGGTGTAAACATAACGGTTATTTTAGGAAAGCAGTAAATCGGGCAGTCAACTGAAATGTTGAATTACTGAACTTTAACTTCCTAGTCCTACTTGTTTACACTTCCGAATCAAAGTTAACGATAACGCCATCTAGTGTCGAATAGCTGTACTTGTCAGTTTGAAAATTAATTGATTTTTAAATATAAATTATTAAAAAAAAATTACAATCTAAATGAAATATTTTTAGAGGAAAAGGTTTCAAAATTATTAATTATTTAAAGTAACTCCACGTAACGGACTAAACTGCAATAGCAACACAAGCTTAGCACTGGCAATGACATAGTAAGCGCGCCATATTTATTTCTTTTCTGACGTTGCTGTCAAACTATCAAAACAGCACGTGTAAAAATGCGTATAGAAACTTGTTATTTTTGCTCATCCAGGATATATCCTGGTCATGGAATTCAATTTGTAAGAAATGATTGCAAGGTAATTATACTTTCCTCTTTAATTCACATGTTTAATACACAACTTGCGTTTATATTGCGTGCAATTACACCATACTAAACACACTAATAGATTTTCAGATTTTGTCGCTCTAAATGCCATGCAGCATTCAAAAAGAAGAAGAACCCACGTAAAACTAAATGGACCAAAGCGTACCGTAAGACAGCTGGTAAAGAATTGGCTATTGACCCTTCATTTGAATTCGAAAAGCGTCGCCACATACCAGTGAAATATAGCAGAGAATTATGGGAAAAGACTATCGAAGCAATGAAGAAAGTTGAAGAGATTCGTCAGAGACGTTCAAACAACTACATAATGCAGAGATTGCGGAAGGGCCGCGAAGTTGAGTGGCAACGAGATGTAAGAGAAGTACAAAGAGACATTTCTCTTATAAGGTAAATTGATTTTACTTATATATACACAAGGTCGTTGATTACAATTAATTGAGTTAAAATATTTTACATCTAAAAATACTATAAATGCCTGCGTTACATGTGAATCGAAATAAAAAATAAATTAGCCAACTATACTTATAAAGTAATTACAGAACTATTAAAGGTTTCAAAAGACACTATTTGAAATCTTTAATAGTTGTTTCACAGTGAACTTTATATTTAATGTAAGCATTGAAAATTTAATGTAAGTAAAGGTTATTTAAAGTTAATAATAAGTAAAGATGTTTCATCAATTCATTTCAAAACTTAATTCTCAATTACAGATCACCTGCAGCTGGTCTTAAACAGCGACAAGCAGAAGAAGAAACTGCAATGGACATTGAACCAGAAACTATAGAGGTGATGGACGCTAAGGGTCGCAGGACGGTTGTTGAGGCTCCAGTCATGGTGCCTGCAATGAGAGAGATGGTAGAAGATTGCGGAGAAGTAGACTTGTAACATGTATACTTTAAATAATGCAAAATGTATAACAGTTTCAATAAAAACATAAAAAAAATATTGAGTTACATTATTTAATGCTAAGGAACCAGTAAGTAAATTGTTTGATATCTTAACCATAAGTACAAAATAAGTGTGGACTTTGTTTGTTATAGTTTTGTTGGCAATAATAGAAATATTCACGAGATACAATAATCAAATATTAAAATGGCATAATTACAATTTCATGTTTTATTTTCTAACATTTTAAAAAATGTTTAATGTCAGCTCGTAGTCCCACAATTTTTATTAATATTGATACTGAGTTATGTAAGTATGGATGGAGTGTGAAAGTAAATTCAGATTTAATCGTTAATAGAAATGTATGGAAGAATAGTACATACCTTGCTAACCCTCTGTAGGGACAAGTTGTAACATCTCTACAGTAATGTTTATTTATCTACGGGACAAAGACAAGTTGATGATCCCAATTTATTTAATTTTCTGATGATACAGGCCTTTTACTTTACGTTAGCCGTAATATGGTATAGAAGATAGGATTAACTAATGAAGAAGTATAAAATCAGTGTGATGTAGTCATATACAAAAGTTTCATATACCCTGATATAAAAGCAGTATTGATTTCCAATGCCGCCAAGACTTTAATCCTCTTAACTCTATTGTCAGTAGTTGTCAACATTTTTATAATGGATGTAATGTAAAGAAAGATATAAAGCTTTAGAATACTTTTAAATTCTGTAATTTCAATTAAAAGAGCTGCAGCAATAACTGGAGTTTGATCACATAATTTTTCAGGACAATTTTTATTCATAAAAGGGTCTTTATCATGACAGTTTTAGAAAACTGAATGTCGTCTTATTTTGTAATATTTAATTACTATTATTTAAATAGAATAATGTAGATAAAAAATAATGTGAACATAACGCAAAAAGGTTGAAGACGCCCGCCTAATTCAATTATGCGGTACCATTTGCTAGACTAAATAATTACACAAACTAGTCTTATATTAGTTCCCGTTGCATGTCACAAGCTATACTGTAATAAGGAATCAAATATTGCCTTATTACTTAGTTAATTCCGATAATGAATATTTTTTCGTTTTTTATAAGTTTTGTGGTTGCGGTCATATCGTATTTAGTGTACACAAGTTATGTGAATACATATTCAAGCATAGTAACTAAACCTGATAAGAGATATGATTATATAATTGGTAAGTACTAAGATAAGGGCATGTTTTCCAATGGGATATTTTTTATAAAAATTTGTTTTGAAAACGCCTGTTACTTTATTTTAGCAATCATATAAGAAAGAGGAACCATTATAATACATAAGGAAAATTAGAACTAAAATGTTGGAATAAAACTTGAGTAAATTAAAATATACTACATTTATTATAATATTTATTTTTTAAATATGTGACCCTGAAATAAAGTAAACTTGTTATTAACTATACGATACAACACAGTGGGTGCAGGTACAGCGGGTTGCGTGTTGGCCGCGCGATTATCCGAGGATCCTGACGTCAAAGTGTTGCTGGTGGAAGCTGGAGACCAGATGGGTTTCTTCACCAAAATTCCGCTCACATCCACCGCTGCGCAGCAGGGCCCTAACGACTGGTCGGTCAGGACGACGCCGCAGAAGTACTCATCTTTCGGACTTTGGGATCAGGTATCAGCTATCCTTGTCCTTAATAAAATAAATGAGAAAGAAGGGCATAAAGATTATTTCTGTGATTTTTCACAAGTTTTGTGCAAGAACTCAGGCCGAGGATTTCCGTTTGGTAGACAATTTAACCTCTTGTAAAAAACTTTGTTTTACATTTTATATAAACCTTATTTCTCATTTTTTCCAGACACAAATTATACCGAGAGGCAAAGGTCTAGGAGGTTCAGGTCAGATAAACTTCCTACTGCACGGTTTCGGACTACCTGAGGACTACAACAGATGGTCTAGGAAGGGCTTCAAGGGCTGGACTTTTAAGGACTTGAAGCCTTACTTCATCAAGGCCTTCGGGACCACCATGAGCGAATATGATTCAACACATTGTCACGAAACGTCGCGATGTAATGCGGTATGTATATAAACTAAAGTAGAAAACAAAATTGATTTCTTTCAGTTACGTTAAACAACGAAATATAATTTAATCTAGGCGCCAATGAAACTAAAGTTACTGTCGGAAGACAACGAGCTGATGAAGACATTCAAGCAAGCTTCATCAGCCCTGGGCGGGCGCGGCACCGTGTTACGTCGGCCCGCCGCCACAGTCAGCGCAGGACTACGCCACTCCTCCTGGGACGGGTACTTGAAGCCTGCCATGCAGAGACCTAATCTACATGTTTTGCTTAACACGCAAGCGGTGTCTGTAAGTTTAAAGTAACTTTCCACTTGTTTACAACTTGTATAACAACATATTGTTATACTTTCAATTCTTCTTCACTATCGATCAGGATTATTCCTGTTATTGTGAATTGATATAAGCTGGGATTTCAAGTTGCAACTTCAGTACAGAGCATTTCAAACGTGTGAATTCATCATCATCATCATCAGCTCACTATACGTCCCCACCGAGGGGCTCGGAACCTACCCTAAGTTAAGGATGATTAGGCCATAGTCAACCACGCTGGCCAAGTGCGGGTTGATTGACTTCACACATATCTTTGAATTTCTTCTCAGATATGTGCAGCATCACGATGTTTTCCTTCACCGTAAGAACGTCGGATAAATGTACATATGTAAATCGGAAATTGAAAAACACATTGGTACATGGCGGGATTCGAACCCAGGACCTGCAGATTGCAAGTCAAGTGCTTGACCACTGAGCCACCGACGCTCGTCACGTGTGAATTACTGAATGTTTATGATACTTTATTCTCCTTATAACATTGAGACATACTTCAAATGTACAGTTTCTCACGTCTTATTTGCAGCTTATCAATTAAAAATTGTTCTTTTTGTCAGATTCGCTTCGACAACGTAACAGCGACGTCACTGTACATTCTGCAGAACCACCGCAACCTCGACAACATCTTTGTGGACCGTGAGATCATCCTGTGCGCGGGAGCCATCAAGTCTCCGCAGATATTGATGCTGTCTGGTATAGGAAGACGGGATCTTATAAAACGGTACATTACTTTTCAGTGTCAAGAATGTATGGAAAACTAACTACTAACTGTTTAGTAAAAATTTGTATCGGGTACTACAAGTTTTGTTCAAATCTTTTGACCAGGTTAAAGCTAAACCTTGTGGTAGAGAACGCGCACGTGGGCGCCAATCTGCACGACCACATGAACATGCCGCTGTACGTCAGCGTGAGGAAGCCTGTCAGCATCACGCTCGCCAAGGTCTTCACTGCTACCACGCTCTGGGACTACGTTTGGAGAAGACAAGGTCACCAAATCGTACCAACTGTTGCCTGCGACTCCGTCCGCGAATTAGTTGTCTATACTTTCAGACTATGTTCTATATTAATGCCAAATTTCTGTGAGACATGTGTAGCCGTTCAGGAGATAATTAGTAACAAACATACAGATGTTTGTGATAAAAAGACTGCTGACGTAGATCGTTAATGCCACAAATAGTGGAATAAAGGTAGGACAATGATGATGATGATTGTACCAGGCTACCTGTCGTTCCCGCCGGTGTCTGGTGTGGAGTACCAGAACAAGTCCGCGGTGATGGTGTTCGCGCTGGGCTCGGCCAGCGAGCGGCTGCTCAGAGACCTCTCCAACTACAAACATCAGGTTAACATTCATCACTAGCAGGCTTCCACTGCCGCAGCACTATTAAAAAAGAACAGAAAAAAGCTTTAAAAAATGAGTTATCTAGTTTCCATGACATTTTCAGGTGTACCGCGACACTTATCCGTTCCACAATGACACGCGCAAGGAGGGCTTCATGTTCCTGACGACGTGCTCGCAGCCGCGCTCCCGCGGACAAGTCACGCTGCGCGACTCCAGCACCTCCGTCCCGCCACTCCTCGACACCAACTACCTGCATCAGTATCATGATGTCGCGTGCATGATTAAAGGTCATTTTTATATAGATACTAGCTGTCGCCCGTGGTCCGACTGCGCGAAATCAAAAAAACTTAATAAGTAGCCTGTGTGGTCTTCCAGAATATGTTCTTCATGTATACCAAACAATCCATGCAGTCGTTCTGGAGATATCTTCTTACAAACATCCATCCATCTAAACATTCGCATTTATAATATTAGTAAGATAGTAAGAAGTGTGTACTTATTTTATTTTTGGCAGCTATTCGTCGTGCGGAACGTCTGGTGTCAACGAAGGCATTCCAAGAGATAGGGGCCAGAATACACTGGCCGCGGCCCGAGCGCTGCAGGACCTTCTGGAGGTACAGCGCAGAGGACCAGGCTGGATTGAAGCCCAAGAGGAAGAGGTCTCAATAGCAACCAAATTATTAACATAATTTTACTTGCAATTCAATCAATTTTTATACGATATTTTCCTTACTTAGATTCAAATCAACGAAACAGGAAAAAAAGCCAAAAGAAGCTGCTAATGTCAAACCAAAGTCACCAAAAATGAGTCCCCCTGACGAGTACTTGGAGTGCTTGTTGCGAGAGGTCGCGGTGACCGGCCACCACGCCGCCGGCACCTGCGCAGGAGGTACCGTCGTTGATAACCACTTAAGGTATTACAAATATTATTTATCGACATAAATCAAAAATATTTTTTTTCTTTGAAAAATAAAGAAAATATTCAATTTATAAACGCCTGAAATTTGTTTCGAGCAATATTTTAAACTGGTTGTTTGACTGTTGAAATCAGGCGCTTATAAAAAATGAAAGTTAATTCTAATAAATAATTTTATGACTTGCAAGATAATTTATTAAAATTACAGAGTGAAAGGCGTCAAGGGGTTAAGAATAATGGATGCCAGTGTATTACCTACGCCGCTATCTCTGTATCCAAACTCAGTGCTGGTCGGAATGGCAGAAAAGGCTGCAGATCTTATACGTAACACTCCCGAAACGTTAATTTAATAAAGTTAATTTTGATTTATTGATACTTTACCACTTAATTGATGTTAAAATATATAAGTAAAAGTAATTTTGATACACAGTTTTGTGTTTGTGTCTATGAATTAGTTTTAGAATTTTAGTCATAGGTTATAAAATATTTATTATGAATTAAATCTATTTAATTTTAATAATCGATTTATTCTACAACAATTTTTTCGATTTTCTTTTTCTTTTCCAAATGCAGTATTGTAACAATGTCAACAATTATCTCTTTGGTGTCGGTTACAAACACTTGCAGGACGACTTCAAAATCCCGCTCCGGAATCGGAATTGGCATGTTTTTTGGCGGCAAATGCATGTTGTAGAAATTGTATGTAGCCTGGAAAAAAAACTAGAATAGAATATAAACATAAACGCAGGTATTTTCTGCACATGATTTAAATTAAGTTATTTTTAAAATATATTTAGCACCAATTTAGAAAATATAAAATATTATTTTTAAAAGGAAGCCAATAGATGGCGCTATATTATATCAGAGATTCAATAGGTCAGTGTTTATTTTTTTATTTAGCTAAAGGAATGTTATTTTTTGCGCGTTTAAAGTTATTTTATTTCTTAATATTGTTATTGTGTCTGAAAAATGTCCTTACCGGTTTAAAGGGGCACGTGTGAGGTAAGTTGGTGTATTTCTTCATGAAGTCCGTCAACCATTTAACTTGAACCACTTCGCAAATCTTGTAAGTCAACTTGAAGTTACGACCTGATTTCATTTGAAGGATTATAGCTATCTGAAATTATTATAAAACAGGTTTATTTTAAAAATAAATTAATGAAGAGAATTTCATATTTGTTTAACTTATTAGAATCTAAAATTAATTTCGGTTCATACAGTTACCTGTACATCTAAATATTGTAACTTTATTTATAAGCCTACCTATTATATTTTTTTTCTAGCGGGGCAGATGCGGGGGGAGAGCAACGCAGCGCGCCGATTACTTTAGGACGCCAAGATATTTGATGCAAATATCTAAGTTGTGTTTGAAGCTTATGTTTTTTTTCTCGGCTTATTTTGTATTATACCTTATTCAGAAGACTACCTATCGCCCGCGACTCTATCCGCGCGGCATTAAAAACAACCTTTATAAGTAGCCTGTGTTCTTACAAACTATGTTCTACATCTATGCAAAATTTTATCGAGGTCCGTAAAGCCGTTCTGGAGATACCTTCAAACAAACATCCATCTAAACAATCGCATTTAAATTAATTAGTAAGATATTTTTTTATATCTTTTCTTTTTGGGATTTTTGTTCATATGGGACATGTCAATCTCATAGTGCCTTTCCTTATTATTTAGTAAACGAGCTGGCATAATCGTACCGCCGCGATTAAAGCCGGGTCTGACAGAATGGAAAAAATTAGGCCAACATCGTTTAAATTAACTTACATTTATGTAAACAGCAGCTCACGATCCAGCCTTAGTAAGATATATTGGTGAATATGTGATTGTACTCACGCTAACATTGTTGTTGTATGTGACAAGTGTTGTGCCTGTCATGTTTGTTATTAGCGAGTGATCGCTGGTGCGCGCAGCGGTCGCCGTGCAGTTAGTTATGTACTTCGGGTTCGAGGATCTTATCGTGACAGGATTGTCAGCTCCATCCTGTCATAGCACTTAAGTTTATACGTCTTACAATACAAAAGAATTAAGAAGCATTTTATAGCATCTTGATTCTTGTCTGTTTTGAGACTGTTGTAGACAAATTTAACGACTTTTACTGATATTTTGTAACTAATTTACGCCAGTATAATTTAAGTATAAATATAGTTTTAAGATAAATATTACTTTTTTGTAATTCTGTACATTTGATAAACATATTGTTTAACAAATATTATCAATACTAGTTACGTTTAGTTACTATTTAATACTATGTTATACAGGGTGTCCCAAAAGGTTACGTACATAGGAAGGGGGAAGATAGGGGCGGTCACAAGGGTCACCAGAAAAATAAAATAAAAGTTCCCCTCTGGGTATTAAAAAAATAAAGGGGCATTTTTTAAAAACTTAACAATTTTACACCTTCTGGGGCAATTTTAATTTTCTTTAAAATCTTTGTTAGTTGTATTGTTTTTTTATTTCATATTTATAAAGGGTTATTGACGATAACATAATACCTTTTTTTTAATGTAGCAATATTTGTAGGTCATTGGTTACAAAATTGCCCCAGAAGGTGTAAAATTTTTAAGTTTTTAAAAAATGCCCTTTATTTTTTTTAATACCCAGAGGGGAATTTTTATTTTATTTTTTTTGGTGACCCTTGTGACCACCCCTATCATCCCCCTTCCTATGTACGTAACCTTTTGGGACACCCTGTATAACGGCCATAAATAATATAAAATACTCACAGCGAAACAATAACGCGAAAAGAATAATAGAGTAAAATAAAATAGAAACGGCCACTCCATTTTGACGCAACAAAACTAATATAAAAAATAAAAAAATCCATTTATAAATATATCATTACTGTACACTAAATTACATTTTAACGAACCAAAGCTACTGTTATTAAAAAGATACACAGAACTGTAATAATAGATCTCTATCGCAATACAATAACCTATAAATATACAGACAAATAACATAGTTACTATATGTTACAATTTATTCATACTATTCAGGTCAAATAATTCTGTTGATACTTCCGATTTAATGCAGATAACATCACAGAACTTCCTATGTAATACCTCAATTTAAACAACAATATACATGTGTTTTTAAATGTAAATAAACAAGTAGCTTACTTGAAATACTTTAACGTAATAATGCAAACATAATTTTACAATTTATCGATTTTTCTTCATTAATTTATAAATGAGATAAAATAATATACATCTATACAAAATTAAAATTGGAGTATATGTATGTAATATCATAACAAAGAATAACATTTCACGAATATGATGAATTTGATTTAATTAATTTTTAGCAGTGTACTCCGAAACAGCTGGACGGTTTTTGACGGGACGAGAGCGGGTGTAACTTAGGCTAGGTTTTTTTTTTTAATTTTTATAACAGAAGGGGGCAAACGAGCAGCGGGAACACCGAGGTGTTCAACGACGCCCATGGAGAATGCCAGAGGAACCGCAGATGCGTTGCCGGCCTTTGAGGTGGTGGCCTTTTTAATTCCGCACTAACGAAGTCACGACCAACCGCTAGTATAAAATTTGTTCTAACACCCAAAAGGTTCTGTATTCCTAACAAATACTCGACTGACTATCATTTATTTTAGTCACATTATACGTATGTTCCTGTGGTAGAACAATACATCGCAGCCATAGTTTGCGTACGCGCAGACTGACGTATCGATTGTTATAATTAAAACAAGCTTGATCACTCTGTGCATATTAACTTTTGTCCCCTACTATGGATAATTTTAATGGCAATTCAACATACCAAATAAATAAATTCGATTTAATACAATGTATGACAAGAATTCATTGAAAAAAACGTTATTACATATTTCCTATCAAAAAAGTACTGTATTAAAATATCTAAAACAAGTAGCATTATTAAGTATTTTCTTGGCACAGTTTAAAAAAAAACACGACAACTTTAAAGTATAGAATAAATATTGTTACGAAATTACTTTTTCACTTTCGAGTTAAATTCGATAGTTGTTACTTTTACACAAATGGTAGGGTCTAGGACCTTTTTTAGCTCATGACAAAAATAATAACAAGTAAATATTACGTTTATACAGCCAGTTTTCATTTCAGAGTGCAGTGTTAATGTTGACTTGATACCGCGTTGTTTTTATTTCGTTCAACCAGGAAATGTGCGAGACGCAAGGTAGGCTCGATGGTAAAGTTGCTATCGTCACCGGCGGCAGTTCCGGGATCGGTTTCGAAGCTGCGAAGAATTTAGCTTATAGAGGAGCTAGAGTTATTATCGCCAGTCGAAACACTACTAAACTTATCAAAGCTAGAAACAGAATACAAAGTGTTACTGGTAATAAGAACATTGTGCATAGAGTGCTTGATCTTGGATCTTTGAAATCTGTTCGGAACTTCACAGATTTTACGATTAAAACAGAAGATAGACTCGATGTCTTAGTGAACAATGCAGGAGCGCTAGGTCTATCAGATCGACTAACAGAAGACGGATTGAACCTTACAATGCAAGTGAATTATTTCGGTACATTTTTATTAACATATCTATTGCTGCCTTTGTTAAAAGCATCAGCTCCGAGTAGAATTATTAACGGTGTTGCAGTAGCGATGTACATCGGACATTTAGATTTCGATCATTGGAACGACGTTGGAAGATATACTACGATACAAGCAACGGCTAATTCTAAGCTAGCGATGGATTTATTCAGTGCGGAATTGAGTCGACGTTTTAAAGATAGTGGTGTTACTTCAAATACTTTTGATCCTTACATAACAAAAGATACTGATATTTTAAATAATATGGAAGGACTTTCGAAGAATACATCTCAATTGTTCGTCGATATAGTGGGTCAACCGAAAGAGGATGTTGGTAAGCAAATAGCAATGTTAGCTGCTGATCCAGATATGGAAAATATAAGTGGGAAACATTACAAATTTTGTAGAGAATGGATCAATCATTGGTTAGCATATGAAGAGGATTTTACACAACAACTTTGGGACGCTTCAAAGCAAGTTGTAAATATAACAGTTGACGAGGATTGGGACGTATAATTTTAAAGTGATTTAAGTGCAATTATATACATAAAAGGTCCTTTAAAAAGCTTAATAAACTACCCGCTATTGTGAATTTTAATAATTTTTCGTATGGAAATAAAAAATTCTAAATAAATGTGGTTCTTTTACTAAAAAAATATCTTTAGGTCTGTATATTTATAAAAACACTAGAATTAATTTAAACTTTAACAAATCATCGTATACAAATAAATGTTAGTTAAGATTTTAACCATTTAACTATTGATTCATTTAACTAAACGATTTAACTGTTTTACGAAATCTTAAAACATACTGCGACCATTCTCTTTGATCAAGGTTAAATAATTCAACTTTTTATAAGTTTCCTTTTATAATCAAAACGTAACTTTGAAGTTAAATTGTAACCTTGGCTTTATGTAACAGCAGACAATTAAGTAAAAGCTTTGTACTTAATTACAAATAATATCTTACAATTTATAACTTTCTGTATAAAACTAAACAAAAAGAAAGCCGACTTCGTATAAAAATAATGCCATAAATACCTTCGAAAATAAGAAAGTTCTCTTCTTTCTTATATATTTATATTTTACAATTATTGTTACTTCGAATTTGGTGTCGGCATGTCTTACTGCAAAATTTGATTACCGTGAAACTTCTATTAATTAAGAGAACACAATATCATATTGTTATCTCAAATATGTCAAAGATAAATGACAGGAATGGCGATATCTTTTAAACGGGTATTTTGGTGTCAGAAGCCCACGGTTAGAGTCAAACTGAGATAGTGGGCCCGGTAAGAAGGCGCTATCACGGTTAGTTCTTTTAAAAACTTTTTGATATTGGCAGGAGGGCGCTAGTGAGCTATCATAAATAAGTTTGACTTATGCCGACCGGGTCAAATAACTTTGTCAGTCTATACCGGTCTTTCCCAAAGTGGGCGATAACGCCCCCTTGTGAGCGCTGCAGGTCTCAAGTTGCGGGTTATAGTAAAAGTTTCGTTTAGAATTCTCCGTTAATATACATATATAGGTCACTATAATTAATTAATTTAATTTGTAGTTATAGTGGTTTTAAATATGTGAAAATATGCGGGCGCTAAAAATATTTATACTAAGTGGGCAGTAGACAAAATAAGTTTGGGAACCACTGGTCTATACTTATACTTGATAGTCATTTGTTTGGAGTAACCATGCAAGGACTAATATTGAGGTATATGTTTTCACGTGTTTCGGCAATGTAAACTCATAGTAAGCAAGTTTTACTTACATAGTATGTATTTATAGTTATTCCGTGAGAATATATTTACACAACTTGTGTTATTGTGTTGAGAAACCGTAAATCCATCAGATAACAATACTTAGGATCGAGATCACTGAACAGAATATGCCATAAGTTCAGACTCATGATTACAAATAAGTAGTTTTTACGTAGTAGTACTTGTTCAGATCACTGAGAGGAAGCTAATTACAAGGTTCTGTTTCACAATTGAGTTAAACAATAAGAAATATCTTACAAATACTATGAAATAAACAAGTCCTTAGTGTTAAAGTAAACGTCGTTATAATCTTTTATTTTGTAACTAGCTGTCACCGACGACTCTATCCGCACGGAATTAAAAAAAATCAAAATAAGTAGCCTATGTGCTCTTCCAGACTATGTTCTACATGTGTGCCAATTTTCATAAAATTCCTTACAGCCGTTCTTAATTTAATAATTACTATAATACTTTATAATTTTTAAATCAACTTTTTTATAGTTTTTCTGAAGACTATATTTGTTTTGGCCAATATATTACTTGAGTATGTATGTAAATAAATTCTGACATAATGATAAACAAGGTCAGATTTATGCAGAATGACATTGGCCTAAAATGCATCTACTGTTTAACACAACAGTTCTGAAGGTCAAACAATAAAT